GATATGTCCTCAGCAAGGTCATATGTTTCACGCTGATTAAAGCGGTTGTGTCAGGATGCTAGAGACAGAGTGTTCCCAAAACAGCAATGCAGTTTGCCTGCAACATTATTTATTTCTTTTTGTCAGTGGAAGGGCTGTTCTTTGTCTGTTGAGAATAAGGCTGAAAGAGCGTTGCAGCACAGCTAGTACAGCTGACCAAGCTTTTCCACGGCTCTCGAGGGAAAGTGAAAGGGGGGAAAAAAATAGACCAATTTGGACTGTGTCACAAATAATGGCCTCTCACATAAACTTTTGCCAGCAAGGCTTGGCTCAAATAGACAAAGTGGCAGCCAGCATTCTGGGAGTTTCTTGGTATAGCCTGTGTTGGGGCAATTCTTTATAATTTATCTTATAATATGTCAGATAAACAGTGAATCATTCCTTGATTCATCTGAGACTGTTTTCAGTTATGAAAAAAAAAACCCAAACCCACTATAAATTGTGCATGCCTAGTAGGTCAGGTCAGAAGATGAATATCTTTGTATTTCTTTCTGAAAAATGCTTTGAAACATTTTTTCTTTTCATATTTGAAGGTGTTTCTTTTAGAACCAAAGAGAGAGGTGCTGTCAGAACACCTCACAGCAATTTGAATGAACCAGGATCTCTGTAAAGTAACAACATTGGAGAACTTGGTGGAAGCATTGCTTGCATTATGACATTATTCCCATAGTGTGTATCTTTTCGAAAGCTGTTAACCCAGCATTATTCCCTGAATCTGCTGTAATTCACATGTGGAAAAACCTTTTCCACATGCTGCTTTACAGTATGGTACATAATTGTATATGTGGCAAAACATTTTCGGACTTTTAACTTCAAAATATTTTTTTTTTTAACTTTTTTAATGGTATGGCTAGCAATGGAGGGGAGGAACAGGATGGAGGAGGATGAGGAAGTCAGAAATGGTCTTTCTGTAGCATTTAGGATTTCAGTGGTGTTCAACAACTCCCTGCTGTTGGCTTGCTTACTGGTGCTAGGCAGCAGCAATTAAAATTTTGGTTGATTTTTATAGAAGCCCAATCCAGTACTCTGGCATTCAATGCAGGCCATATTCAGTAAAAATAAATATAAATAGTGTAAAGGTAAATCACATTAGGACTTACATGACCATGATGAAATGGGAAATGCTCTGTTTGTCTTAAGGCTCCCAACTCCAGCTTGCTTGCTGTCCTCTGAGGAGTGAAAGTCACATATACAGGTACAGACCTGGGGATGGGATTGCTCCCCAGCAGCCTTTGTGCCAGCTCGCTCCCAGCCCGCCCGTGAGTGAGCGGACAGGCAGAAGTGGTCCTGCTGACGGGACCGGCTCTCCTCCTCCTCATACCCAAGGGGCGAGCACACAGGCTGCAGCAGGGTAGGAGGTAGGCAGTAGAATTGCATTAGTGCAGTGCTGTCACAGAGCTAATTTGCCATGCCTGGGACCCTGCACAGGGTTGCACATGTGGCACTGTGCTCTGGGGGAGCATCCTGGCTCAAGCTTGGGGACAACATGGGTGGCTAGGCCAGGCTGACAGTTAATGGCAGGCCTGTAGGAAGCACTAAATGGCCCCATGCTTGATGCAGGGTATGTGTGAACCCATTACATTGTGCTTTTTCTGTGTAAAATAACACTGGGCATCAGACCATCACCACCAATGCTGGCTGGTTCGGTTCTAATTAAAGAACCCAAAGGGTCAGCAGTGACTCCAGATGTGACCTGCACAACACAAGTCCTTCATCCTGCTCCCCGCAGTGGTGCAAGCAGCTGGTCTGGGAGAGGGGCATGTCTTCTTCTTCCTCTCCCCTCCGCCTGTAACCAGGGTACTTTGTCAGCCTCCATTTAATATGCATACTTCTCCCTTGGCTGTTCCCCAAACTCAAACGAGTGCACTGATTTCCTCAACGAAGGGCTTGTCTAAACAACAGTGTTTTGGCTTCTTTAAGGAGTGTTGTTCAAGTGCTAAATTCCCCTAAGCCTCGTGGAGTTACATTAGTACAAACATTGCCATTCAGGATGCAATACCTGCTTTAAAGCACCTTTCTAGGGCTGTGTACCAGCATCCAAGGTAGCATGGAATTGAAAGAGCAGTAGTTTAAGCTTGTGATGGCTGTGGGGTGTGTAACCTGTTTTAAAAAGCAAACATGTCTGTGATGATTGTATAGAAACTTGTGGGGGAAAAAGTTGATGGTAGGACAGTTGACGTCCAAACGTACGTCAAGCTACTTAATTATTTCCTGATAGATTTCTTGTCCTAGTGAGCTGCAAGTGGTCAGGATGTTTGGTGACGTCTTGCTGGTATAGAGTGACTTGGTCCTTTTCCTGGCCCATGTCCTTCTCTGAGGCCTGCAGTCTTGTAGAGATTACTCCTATGCAGAATGGTTGTTATAAACTATATTTATCTGCTAAGATATTAAAGGAGTAGTCTACACCAGAGCACCTCTGCTGGAGTAATTACGTTGGCAGAGGCTCCAGCCGTTCCTTCAGGCTGCTTCACACAGCCTCTGTGTCTGAGGAAGCTGTGGCAAAGCCAGGTGTCTGTGTCCACAGCAGGGGTTCTGCAAACACAGGTGTCTGGGTGGTGCGGTGTTGTATTTATTCCCTTACACCCTGTGCTCTTAGGAGTAGCTTGGGGATCCCTCCCTCCAGTTGCGGGGTGCATGTTACCCTCTGCTATGCTGGCAGAACTCTTGAGTCTGCACAAGTTTTCTGGTGCTTTATTCCCTCCCTCTCTTATTCATTATTTGCTTTGGATCACCGCCCTCCTTACAACTGTCCACAGATCCATCTCCTTGGAAACGGCAGAACTTGTTTACGTGACAGCAATAAGGAAACTAATCGATGCGTAGCAGCTGCAGGTGTGCGAGGGAGCCAT